GCATGTACATGAAGAGGAAAGCATAGCTATGCCTGTTTGATCCACACCTAGAACTGTTTGTTTGAAACAGTTTCTGGTCACCTTCCCCAGTATAGTCAATGCCTGCACGAAGAACTTCTAAAACTAGAAACAACCCAACATTAGCGCTATATATTTCATAAGGAAATCTTAGGGAACCTGACTTGAATTACTCTGCATCAGCAAGTAATCATGTTGACATGTATTAAGCCAGATACTGCCTCACTACCTAACATTGCTGTTGGGAATGAAAGAAATAGTTATTCTTGATGCGTGTTTCAGGGATGAAGTGGCAACGACTCTTCAGATGAGAACAGTGTGGCCTGGAAAATGAGGTCTGCAGACATAGGGATGGCAGAGGAGGAAGAGTTCATCTCAAGGGCACTGTTTTCTGGTGTTCAGGCAGATCCTGGGAACCAGTAGGGTTAGAAATGCCGTGTAGGGACATGAGAGAGGAGTCAGAGGTGCCTGGCCTGATCCTTGATGCAGCATCAGGAGTGAAGGGCTAGCCAGCTAGAGGACCTGCTTATAGCTAGGAGGTTTCTTCATCTTTAGAAAGGCATTCCCAGAGGGGTGGTGTCCAGGGTTACTCAGCAGGAGGGTTCTTGGAAATAATTTCTGTTTTGGGTTCAGCAACCACTGTGTGCATGTGCCAGCTATAGTGTGCTGGAAGTACACTGGAAATAAGGGGCTTTTGCCAAAGAATGTTATGCTGTTTGAAAGAGAGAAGAGGGGAACCTAGTTCCTGACAGTTCCTCTGATTAAATAAGTGTGAGTAGATGTTAGTGTCCCTGAAAAAGAATGTGTAAAATGGCTTTGAACTCTCAGTTGTAGTATTTGTAAAGCACTGTGTTTCTGCACCAAAAATGAACATTCCTTTACTATGTGTTTAATAGCAAGATTTTTACAGTTCATTACAGTCCTGACCTGGGTGGGAGAACTTGGAAAATCCCACTTGGGGCCTCCAGATTCAAAAATAGAAGACCTATCTGCTAGACACACATTTTAAAGTGATGTCTGTTTTGGCCCTCAGATTTGGCTTTTTGAAGGCAGTGGGGATTCTTATGATGACACATGTCAGGGCTTGCCTATTCCTAAAAATCATAGACACTGCAAGAGGAAACCTACCTCTCTAGAGCATTGGCAAGTGCAACACTGTGGTTACTGAATCACTTGTGGTAGAGAAGGAAAGCCTTATCACTTACAGTGGGAGGACTGCAGTTGATCTGTTTGCGTAAATGGCCACTTAAATGGTGCGTGGGGGGCTTGAAGAGCTGTTAACAGGTTGGAAATCAATCTTAAACCCCTTAGTGTTAGATGGAACTAACTTTTATTCACTTACAATGGGGTGGATCCAGACTTAGTCATTATAAAATGGACTCATTGAAATAATAGAAGTCTTGTTTATCTCAATGGCTTGTCCTTTTCTCCATCTTTGGTCAATATCCAAATTGGACCCACACTTAGCAATTTCTGAAGTAATCAAGAACAAGCCAGAATGCATGTTTCTGGAGCACATGGGTAGAACACAGCCTGTATTTGTCTGCTGTAACTCTGTAGAATTAAAGGGCTGGTGTTATCTTTTAAAATGGAACCTGAACATTCGGTTAAGGGGCCTTTTTTGAGAAAACTTCACCCTTACAGCCTTCATGACTATTTCTGGCCCTGGAAATAAAAGCACTGATTCCACAATTCATTTTAATCACTAGTTATAACTTAATGTTGCATCTCCAGAGCTATTTAAAATGAATTTGTTGTATACATTCAATGAGGTACTCTTTCCAATAGTCATTTCCAGCAAATAAATTTCCATTTGTTTATTTATTCATTTATTTTCTATATCACCCAACAGTGCTAAGAAAATCCATTAAATGTTCAAAAAGCATCTCATGCTTGCTTTTATCAACACAGATGTTCTTCCTTCTCCTAATCTATTTGTGTAGAATGTAATCCTAAACAGATTTACCAGGGACTGAGGAACAAAATTAGTTTTTTTTCTCAGTAAGCATGCAAAGGATTCCTATGCTGTTAAGGCATCACAATTGGGTTTGGAATGCTATGAGCTATTTACAAATACAAGTCTCTTTCGTACAACTTAACTTGCACATCAGAGTTCAGTCAACCTTGGTGACCATGAAAGACAGGGGAAGTGCCAGATCATAGGGAATACTGTTCCTGTTTCCAAGAAAGGGGAAAAAAGATGAACCTGGCTGTCTGACATCAATCTCTGGGAAAATTCTGGAGAAAATTATAAAACATTCAGTCTGCAGACACTTTGAAGAAAATACAGTGATTTCCAGAAGTCAGTATGGATTCCCCAAGAACAATTTCTGCCGAACTAATTTTATTTTTCAACTGGGTAACCTTCCAAATGGACTGTGGGAATGTTGTGGACATGATCTATCTAAACTTTAGTAAAGCTTTTGATATTGTGCCTCATTACATCCTAATAAGCAAACTCATAAAAAGTAGGCTAGATAGAAGAACTATTAAGTGGATCCACAACTTGCTAAAAAACTGTGCTCATCACTGGCACCTTCTCAAACTGGGAAGTGGCAACAAATGGGGTGCTGCAGGGTTTTATCCTAGGCCCAGTCCTTTCCAACATTTTTTAAAAATTATATTTTAAGTACAGAAAAGATAATTTGTGGTTGACAGAAAGTGGGGTGGAATAGCCAATACCCTGGAAGACAGGGAAAAGATCCAGGGTGATTTTGATAGGTTAGAACACTGGGCTGAGAACAACAAAATTCAGTAGGGACAAATGCCATGCACTCCACTTAGGAGAAAGAAACCAAATGCATTGCTACAAGATGGAGAATACCTGGCTTAATATTATTGCCAGTAAGAGAGATCTCATCTCTTCTGGCCACCACAGACAAGCTGGAAAGGGTTCAGAGGAGGGCAACAAGGATGATCCAGGGACTGGAAACAAAGCCCTATGGGGAGAGATTGAAAGTACTCGACATGTTTAGCTTCAAGAACAGAAGACTGAGGGGAGATAGGATAGCACTCCACAAGCAATAGAATGGTTGTCACAAAGAGTAAGGACAAGAGTGCAATCATCCCAGAGTACAGGTCACAGAATAACAGACTTAAGTTCTAGGAAGCCAGATTCTGCCTAGATACCAGAAAAATTTTCCTCATTGTCAGAGCAGTACTACAATGGAACCTATTACCTATGGTGGTCATGGACTCTCCCACACTAGAGGCGTTTAAGAAGCGATTGGACAGTCATCTGAGTGAGATGGTGTAACTTAGTGTCCTGCACTGAGCAGGGGGTTGGACTTGATGGTCTTCTTGGCCCCTTCCAGCTCACATTTCTATGTTTCTCTGGTGGTGTAGATTGTAGTATTTTAGAGTAATAGAGTGTCAGCATTGGTGCTTATGGCACTTGCACGTAAATCAACAAAAATCAAACCTGGTGGATTAAAAAACAGCCCTTTAAAGTCACTGTAGTGTAGAAACTCCAGTATAGCTCATGCCTTTCAGTGGTTAGAACCCTTGCTGCTGCTTGATATAACAATGCTGAGTGTTACTATCAATGTATTTATTTATAAATTTTATATAACAATTATAGGTAACTAATCACTGAATGTTTTAGAGTAAATAGATTGCTTTTGTAAATGTATGTTGTAATATTCGTTACTGAGGGTGATGAGGATCGTAACAGGTATGAGTTGGACCCAGCAAAAGCCTCTTGCTGAGGAGGGATTCCTTTTGTCTGTGGAAGGCTTCTGATACAGCAAAGCATTTCCACTGGTGGAATGGTGGAAAGGATGTTAATTCTTTATTCTCCTTGCAGCATCCCATAGCTTGTGAAAGTCAGTTGGAATTTTGTAGTAAACCAGTTATGGAGGAAATGGTGGGAGGGAGGGGAATTGGAGCTTAGCTCAGGGAACAGTCCAGCCAGTAGATGGAATGCTAGATTTAATCCTATCATTGATCACCATTATGAGCAACATTAAGAATATTTCCTAAAGGAACTTAGAATTGGGGTTGGAGCACAGGAATGGGAAAAGAGTTTCAAGGAATGAATGTGAATAAGTGCTGTCAATATGCTTGATTTCAGTTCTGTTGGGGATCTGAACTGGGTGCCAAGGAAAGGCTTAATGCAAATTGTAGATAGATGATACTACATTCAAACATATAGGACACAAAAGGGGAATGAGTAGAGGAATTGTGCTTTTTCAAATACTCCAGTAAGCAAGCTTTGGGCAGAATGCTAGAAGCAGAGCAAGCAGATGCAAGCAGGAGAATGCTGAGAAATATGAGCAAAAAGATTGGATGGAGTTTCTGTATTTATAATTTGTAGGGTTTTTTTAAAAAAAAACTTGTTTTGTTTTCCTTTATGGCACATGTTAGTTACAGATTGTTGTCTTTGTTTTGTACTGGGCTTCAGTATATTGTGGCAGTTTTCAGAGCCCTAACACTAAGTCTTACCTGCTTGTGTCAGCACTAATACAGCCTGGTAAGCTTCCTGCTAGATACTTACAAGGCCCTCACTTGCTAGTTAGACTTAGCGTATGTTAATATTTCATTCAGCAGTGCTTTTGTAATCATGATCTCAAAATGTATGTATATTAGAATCTAGGTATAGCTAACTTAGAGAAGGCTGATTGAGGTGCCATCTGTGATCCGTGCTGTTGTGTGCTGTAAAATCTTTGCCTACCAACCTGGGAATGAATATTACTAGAAGGGGGCAGGGGAAGGAAAACCAAAGCAATTTTAAGAAAATTCTTTGTCTTGTCCAGAATGAAAGAAAATGACAGATTTTATTTTTCAATCCAGTGTTATTTTGCAGGTGCAACTTAGTATTTACAGAAAAAGGAGTATTCTTCAAAATGTCTAAGATTGAGAAAATGAGCATTCTTGGTGTGAGGAGTTTTGGGGTAGAAGACAAAGACAAGCAAGTGATCACTTTCTTTAGTCCTTTAACAATCTTGGTTGGTCCAAATGGTGCTGGAAAAACGGTAAGAACCAAGTGGATTTAATTTCAGTATAGATGAACTGCTTTTTCTTTCCTCTGAATTGCATAGGGATGCCATTATTAATACAATCCAATCAGTTTTCAAAATATTATGACCAAGTTAGAATGTATTTCTTTACCAATGTGTGAATAGATACATAGATGTATTTGCCCTGTCTCCTCAGGGGAGGTTGTGATCCTTTGTGCTGTCAATACAAATATCTTCTGAATTGATGGCTCTTGGGTCTGTAATGCTTGCATACCTATGAACTATAGTATATTTAAATTAATAGACTTTTGCTGGGTTCACATATAATGACAGGTCATGGAAGGAATGGTTTGTTATGTGTAAAATTGGAAGCATGGTGAAATGTGGCACAGTTGATTACTGTGAATCACCACAGAGAACAAACAGTTTTAAGGTTTTCACTTTTCAGCATTGCTTCTCATTGTGTGTGAAGCTGGTTACAATGTTTTTCCATGGTTTCCCCATTTCAGCCAGTGAGTTCAGCAGCAAGAGTGGCCACAGCTGCTTCAGCTGCCCTTTTCACTGCCTTGTTCACCTAGCAACAGCCGAGTTGCCAACAGACAGTGCGCTGACCCCCGTGTTCCCTGTCTCCTTTCCCAGTGCATTCTCTCTGATGCCTGGCCGTCCCACTGCCGTGTCCAGTTTTTCACCTACCCACTGCCTGGCCAATCACCAACATGCCTGCCTTGCCCAACTGTCATGGCTATACCACCATGTGCCCTCCTAGCATGGCCTCTCTTGTGAGTCATGCTTTCCCCTCTCTCGCAAGCACATGAGGAAGCACAGCCTTCCATGAGAGGGAACAGCACACTTGTGCCAGAGGCCCAGCAGGCACAAGCAGCATTTCAGCAATCTAGATATGTGGGTGATCTGGCCAGGCAGCCACTGACGGAGAACACATCCAGGGGAACATGCAGGTCAATGGAGGAGGGGAGGAGCGATGCATGTAGAAGTGGTGCATGCTGGGATTGGTTCCTAGCTGAAGGGCTGATGGAATGCATGCACCATTTGGAGGGAAAATAGATCTGTGCTGATAGTACTCAGGGTTAGTTACTTTGTGATTGTATGAACACAGGACGCAAGGTAAGAAGGCAACTGCACAGTAACCATTCTTATGTCTGAGCAGCCCTTATGGCCTTAACTAATGAAAGCTGTTGAGATACAGTTCCTTGGCATTGTATGAGTACATTTTAAGGAACCAAGTTTGAATGATTACTTTATTTGCTTCCCCTGCATGTGTAACAACTCATATGAGGGATCAACTTAATATCGCAAGTGCAATACCTGGCAGAAGGAGCCTGCAGAACTATGCAGATTATTCTCTGTGAGTAGCATGTGCTCTGAAACCCTGCTACTGGAGACTGATCTGCAAAATTCCACGAGATCATGTCTTACAGCTTTAATGTTCACATGAATAAACAAGTTGCATGTCCTGTTAAACATGCCACAGAGCTAGATAAAGTAAAGTATGACCTGGTTTTCTATTATGTATTATCTCATTATCTGGAAACAGAAGGGCAACAGCTATTTGTGAAATCTTATTGACATTTATTTCCATTTTCACTAGACAATCATAGAATGTCTGAAGTACATTTGCACTGGGGATTTCCCACCTGGCACCAAAGGAAATTCATTTGTCCATGATCCAAAAGTAAGTATTAAGAGTTCAAGTTTCACAACTAACTACTAGCTTCCAGTGAGCAAGATTGTGACAGAAACAAGACTACTTTTAGCATATTGAAAAAGGAACTCACATTTTCCTACATGCAGAAAGGTACATGATGTGTGTTATGTGTGCTTCAAAGTGCAGATTTTTTTCATAACAAAGGAGAATTTTTGAAACATAGGTATAGAGAAACACAATAAGGTATACCCTGCATAAGACAATCGCTGATTTTCAAATAGCCCATTGAAATGGTGACCTGGCTCATGCATAATGCTAACATCGTTGTTGTACCTAGGCATGTGCACCCCCAGAAAAATTTAAAAAATTGTTTTTATTTCCAGTTTTTTCCATTTGGAAGCAGAAATTTTTCAAAGTCTGATTCCCTCCACCCCCTTTCGTCTTAGTACAACTGTTAATCTCCCTGTAATCTACTGTCTACAGTAGTAGTCTACTGTCTCAATCCCCTACCCCTCTCTATAAACTTTATTTCTTACTCTCCAAAAGAGTAAATCCCTCCCCATAAATAAATTGTGAAATAAGCAAATTCTACAACCCACAATTGTGTATGCCTGGTCTCTGCAAACCCAAAGCACAGTTCTCTAAACTCTTTATGGAATTTTATTGCATTTTATTATAGACAAAATTTTAAAAAGTTAGGAAGAACTCACAAGCTACTTTGGTCAAAAAGGAAAAGAAATTAGTTCAAAGCTTTTTGAAATAATAAGGGAAAAAAGCTTTTCTGTATAAGAGAAAATAGGCAAGTTTGCATGACATCCTAAGCCACCTAGTGAATAAACTATGATGGATTGGTTGTTAGCAAAATGTGTCTGGCAAATTTGCACGTTTTCCCCTTTAACTGCAAAATCAGTTGTAGGAAGTAAATGGAGGGGAAATACAATGCAAATTTCCCTTCCATATACTTCTGAATCATGATATCTTTGTATATTTCCCAGTTAAAAAATACAAATTTGCTAGACAATAAGGGAAAAAAGGATGAAAGTAACAGTTGGTGTACCAACGAAACTTACACCTTTCACTTGGTCCCATTCAGCTGCCTCCTTAGGGGATTTTGGTTTTTTTCAATTATCAGGGAACTGCAATAACTGCAGCAGTGTGTGCTCTGAAAAGTGGAGAGTGGGAAGAGAGTTAATAGCTGGAAACCTAGGGATGTGTTGAAGATGTGGTGGGCACTAAGAGTTGTCATTTCAGCCCTTGCCACCCCTTTTGAATGTACCTACTTCTCCTCTTTTTGCAGCCATTTTTGATTGACAACTCACAAAGTATGCAGTCTTGCTTTTGTTACCATATTTGTTAACAACTGCACTTTGACAGGTTAAACTTACAAGGATATTGACCAGGCAAGGCTATATATAAGTACACATTTATGTATCTACAAAAGACCAACAAGATTGATGATGATGATGAGGAGGAAATAACAATGAAAGCAATGAGTTGTGTGTATTTGGGGGCCAAACATATATTTTTTAAAAAGGTGGTGAACCAAAGTGCTGTTTGGGCATTGATGGAGTGGCTGTCATTAGTGGTGGCAATAGCAAAGAGTCAATAGCTGCCTTCCATAATCCCCAATGGAATTAGTTTCCCAGGGTTGATGACACAACAATCCATCCTGGGTCAAACAAGCCATGGGTTGTCAGGGTGGCTTGTTGCCAAAAATGAGTGAAGCAGTCTGAGTTTAGATGACACAGCAACCCGCTGGCTAGTTACTTGTGATAGGTTGCTGTGCTATACAAATCCAGTCAATTGGAAAAATGCCAAGTAAGTCTTCCTGGACAGGGAGTTCCATGCCCAGGGTCTGCCTTTAAAAAAAAGACACATGGACATAAATCCGTGTGTGTAGCGTTTGTCCACCCCCCACAAGCTACCCTCTTTAATTCCAATAGGATTTGAATCTACATGCTGATCCCCTCTTTTTTCAGATCTGCCTTGAAAATAAGAGGACACTGTACAGGTGCTAGAGAACAAGTGATTAAAGTGAATTGTGGGAGAATTTGTTGAGATTATTTTACAAAGTCTATTTTTTGCTGCTGAAGGTTGCCAATGAAACAGATGTCAGAGCTCAAATTCGACTTCAGTTTCGTGATGTTAATGGAGAGCTTGTAGCTGTCCAGCGATCTATGGTGTGTACTCAGAAAGGAAAGAAAACAGAATTTAAAACTCTTGAAGGAGTCATTACCAGAACAAAGTGAGTGAGTGGGTAGATAGAACACTTCCTGTTGCATTTGTTTTTACGGTTATGCTTATTCAACCTTTCTAATATCTGCTTATAGTTAATCAGATGCCATTAAATAGAAATAAAATGTTGAGTCCTCATTTGCTGGGATTATTTGTCGAATGTTGTGCATCTCACTGCTTCTTGATCTTTTTGTTAAGATTGTCCAACAGGCTTCAAGCTTGTTGGATCTTCTCTGTGTTTTTTACTAGAACTTCCAAGATGCACCAACCAGAGGCTGGTGCAAAAGGTATACACTTATAATTAAAAAATAAGGTTTCTTTGAACATATACTGAACCTAGAAATTTGTATGTCAGAACTGAACTGATATCTCAATCCTTTCACTCAAAAAGCCACCCCTTTCAGTAGCCTAATGTAGAAGGGAAACATAATTAAGCTGCAAATATTATTAAACATTTGGGAGTAATACATTCTTTCTGATATACTGGAAATCACTTGGAGATCTCTCAATAGATCAGACTACTTTCTGCCCACCCTTGACCTAATTGAAGTTACGTACTTTTGTTGTGATACTGCATTGAATGAAAAGTAATTGGACTGCATGATTTTGTGAAATGTCTCATCTATATAAAATATACAGAACTGTTTCTCTATTTGAAGTGACTTTCTTACAAACAAGCCCTGCATTATAGGAAAGGAATGGTGAGCTTGTGATCGGATCATGTTAATTCTTTTTTAATTGTGATTTTAGGATTTTACCACCTATCAAACTCATTTGTTTTCTTGTCTTTATTCATACAGACATGGAGAGAAGGTCAGCCTAAGTTCCAAATGTGCAGAAATTGACCGTGAGATGATTAGTGCCCTTGGCGTTTCCAGGTCTGTGATTAATAATGTCATTTTCTGTCATCAAGAAGAATCCAACTGGCCTCTAAGTGAAGGAAAGGCTCTGAAACAAAGATTTGATGAGATCTTTTCAGCAACAAGGTTAACATTTATCTATAGCTTTTAAATAGAATTAAAACATTTGATACCTTTTGATTATGACATTTTTATTTTTATTTAACAAATCATGTTGTCTTAATATGCACAATTCCCAAACACAGTGTCAAAGGACAAATCACAGGTATTCCCAACACAGTGAAAGGTTGAATACTATCCTGAAACTTACTATTCTAGCATGGTATAATGAGAATCCACTTTCTCATCAAATTCCTTGGTATTTTTACCCTTGATTTCTCAAATTCTAAATAATCATAGACATGGCATTAATGTACTATTTTTTAAATATCATTTTGTAATAGGAAGAACATTATTTTTACCCAGAATTCTGGGTCTATGTATTTTAGCTGCCATCATTTAATTAGTAATTAAAATCTTAGATTCTTTAAGTACATTCTTCAGTAACATTGTATAATCACTTTAAGATCCATGTTACAATTATCCTAATAACCTTTCTCTAAGACTGCTTAATAAGACATGTTCAAAAAGTATAAAACAAGTCAGCATACAATGCAGAACAGAACCAACATATATCATGCCTTTTTTATAGCTTACAATATGTTATGGGGTAAGATACTGTTGACTTTAAACCTTGTAAGATCTTTCCTGTAGGTCAACTGAAGTTAAGCTAGATGGAACATTTTTACAAATTCTCATTTATTCTGTAAAATAGGTTGAGATCACTCTATCTCCCATTTGTTAAATGGTAATTTCCTTCTCGTATATTTAATAACATATATTTTGCTGTGCAACCAAGAGTTACACCTTTTGATATTTCTAATTTGAAAATGACATACCTTTTAAAAATGCTCAGTACTAATGTTATTTAGATTTAAAATATATGCATGATTATCTTTTGAAAAGGTACATTAAGGCTTTAGAAACACTTCGTCAGGTACGTCTGAAGCAAGGACAACGAATTAAAGAGTGCCAGGTCGAGCTGAAGTACTTGAAACAGAATAAAGAAAAAGCGCATGAGATTCAGAATCAACTTGCCAATAGGGAAACTCAGTTGGCTGCCTCCAGGGAAAATGTTAAATCTATTGAGGACCAGCTTGAACCTCTAAGGGTAATTTATCCTCTTTTGTTGCATAGTTAAGGTTTCAGTGTAGTGCTGATGTCCTGTATGGAGCAAAAAAAACTTAACAAGGGAAATTTCCCAACCATGGAGTGTTGAATATATGTTCCATTGTTTGTGCAATTTTTTTACACAAACAATGTATGGCAGGGAACGGGCCTGCCCTTCCTGCTCCAGTTTTTCTAGATAGCACTATATGACCAGAAATGATGTCTTGATTGTCTATACCTGAGATCTTCCTGAATGTCCTATTGGTACTTCTGTTTTGCTTGAGGTGAGAATAGCAGATTCAAGACAATTCTTGCGACAGACATAGTATTGTGCTGGGGTATAGGTTATTTCCTAGTGTAAAAGTGTATTTCCTTGAACCCAAGACTTGCCTGCCCTCTTGTATTAAAATGTTTATGGAATCAGTCTAAATCGTTAAAAGCATTTTTCTGTTTGGATTATGTTAGAACATAACTGAGATAGTTGAGTTCATATTAAGTTAAAAAATGGAAGAAACAGAGGGCACTAACAAATTATCTGATTTATTTTGATGAAGTTTTAGATCCCTGGAAATATTCACTGCTATGTTGACCTCCCTTTTTGTAGTATACATGTACATGAGTTTTACTAAGTACATTTATTTGCGCATACATCTCAATAAGTGATGGATTTTATGGTCTTTACTAACTGGGAGTATGAATGTGCTTGCAGCATGGCTTTGAGATATTCATACTCAAAGCTTTGGAATATATATTTTAAAGATTACATTTCTTTTTTATGTGAAGGTTGAATATTACAGGCCAGTTGGAGAAAAGTCACTTGAATCTCCTCTGTTTGCATGCTTTAGGTATAGTGATGCAAGGTTAGGTTGAAACATAATGACTATAATTTGTTTTGCTAAGTACTTGCCTAGTAGGCATAAGTGTCAAGGACTTGCACATAGGCAAGTGCATGGAATTGCATGCAGGTTAGTGAGCAGGCTCATGTAGGAGGGAGGAAGTGCTCTGTCTCTTCTCTGTGTCAATATCAGTTGTCTGGGAAAGGAAGCCAGTATTCCCATACCCAGCACAGAGATTAAATGGGGCAGTCTTAGAAGGGAGGCAAAGCTTTCCATCCCTCCTCCCCTAGTAAGATGGTAAAAAAAACTTGCAGACTAGTAAGTTTTGTGGGTGTATTTACAAGCTTGTTTTATAACCCTCATAACAGTTGCATAGTTCATTTCTTTTTACATTCTTTCTCAGAATCATCTAACAGAAATAGAACAGAATCTTGTAAAAGTAATGAGACTTGACAATGAAATTAAAGCTCTGGAAAGTCGAAAAAAACAGATGGAGAAGGATAACCAAGATTTGCAACAAAAAATGGAGAAGGTTTGCTTGATAATAAATTTTTGTTTGTGTTCTGATGCAAATTATGAATTGCACAGTAAAATTTATGTTGGTATCATAGTGAAAAGTTTTTTCCAGCAACATTTGGGCTTGCTTACTCATATTGTGGGTACATGGTTTTAGGCATAGATTATAGTTTCAGTCTTCCAGTTTTTTAGTGAGTCAGTTTATATCCAGTGTTCTTCTGTTTCAATTTTCAGGTTAAAAGCAAGCATTTATTGAAAAAAGTTCATTGAGCAAATATTGACCTTTTTGTTATCCTATTTTCCGTCAGGGTCTTTTGTCTGAGTGTCCTTTCCTGAGCGTCCTCTTTATAGTAGAACCCCTTCACCTCCATGGTATACCTTGGAGCTGAAAGTGATGAATCAAATCAGGAAACAACTTACATGGAGGAAATGTACCTATAGCGGAATATATTTGGAGGCAGTGAGAGTGGCAAAAAACAATATCTGATTCCATTGAATCTTCTCCTTGCCACCCAGCAGAGCTCTCTAGGAGTATGTGGGGGCTACTGCGTACTGGCCTTAAGGATAACATGTAGCCATATAAGGTGTGCTGTAATGTATTTGGTAGGCATTTCCAGGGCAAAATGTTTTGTATCTGCTGGGACTTTAGATGCCAGTGTTATTGCTATGAAATCAGGTGAGATATTCAGAGCACAGCCTTGCCAGGTTTCTTTAGATGAGTTCCAGTTAGTCCATCTTGAGGATGTATACAGGATACTTGGACAGGTATGTGCAGCCACATCCATGCACAACTCTTTCTTGGCTAAGAAAAGTTAAAAGCTAGCAGGGAAGGAACTGCTGCCTGGGCCAGGAAATTGATTAATGCCTCTTTATGAGGGGTGGTCCCTCACCCCTTGAAAATTGGACCTGGAAGAACTTAATAGTTTTAGGCCAGTGACAAATATGCCCTTCCTGGGCAAGGTTCTTGAGCAGGTGGTGGCAACCAGGTCCATGCACACTTGGATCAAAACAATTATCTGGATCCATTTCATTCAGGGTTCAGGACTGGTTTTGACACAGAAACAGCTTTGCACTGTGCGATGACTTATGCTGAGAGAGACACACACACAGGGAGAGGAACCCTGCTGGTACTTTTGGACTTCTTGGTGGTGTTCGGTACCATCAGCCATGGTATCCTTGAGAAGTAACTGTCTGAGTTGGGAGTGAGGGGCACTGTTCTGCAGTGGTTCTGCTCCTGTTTGGATGGCAGGTTCCAGAGAGTGGTGCTTGGAGGATATAGTTCGGAATTCCCCTTGGATCCTTCAACATGGGATTTCTTAGGAGTCAGTCTTGTCTCTCATGCTGTTCAACATCTACATGAACCTAATGAGTGAGGTAATCTGGAATTTTCAAATATGTTTTCATCAGAATGTTGATGTGGAACTCTATTTCTCCTTTTCATCTTCAGCAAGTGAGGTTGTGGATGTACTAAGCCATTGCCTAGCTGCAACAGTGGACTGGAAGAGGGCTAACAAACTGAAGCTCAGTCCATACAAGACTGAAATGCTGTTAGTGGGTGGTTCCTCTGGCTAGATAGAAGTCTAGAGGGGGTTGCACTCCGCTCAAAGGAGCAAGTTTGTCAGTTGGGGGTGCTCCCTGTCATTTGGGTGTGCCTAGGTGGCTTCGGTGGCTCAGAGTCCCTTCTACCAATGATGTCTGGTGGCCCAGCTACACCTCTATCTGTACAGAGATAGCCTCCTATCAGTAATCCATGCTTTGGTAATTTCTAAACTAGCTTACTGCAATGCTCTCTGCATGAGGCTGCCCTTGAAGACTGTTCCAAAGACGTAGCTTGTGCAAAATGTGACAGCCAGACTAGTAACAGAGTTCAGACAGTCTGATCATATAATACTAATTCTGGCTCACTTGCACTGGCTGCTTGTATGCTTCCAGGTGCAATTAAAGGTGCTGGTTTTACTCTATAAACACCTACAGGGCTTTGGACCACAATACCTGATAAAAAACTTCTCCCAACCACCATCTACCTGGAAACTACAATCAACCTTTCAGTCCTGTCTCTGACTGCAGCTGAAGGAGGATGAGCTGTTGGCAACAAGAAGGGTCTTTTCAGTGGTAGCGCCCTCCCCACTGAGGCCCACCTAGCCATATCTTTCAGGGGTCAAGACTTTCATCTACCACGGGGCATTTAATTAGTTGGGCCTTCATTAGTTTTTAATCCAGGTTCAGTCAAGTTTTATCTGTTTACATTATTGGATTTTTACATGTGTTTTAAATGGAGTTTTAAATTTTTTGGTATGGTAATGTTTTTCCTAATGTTTTTAAAATTGTTGTACATTTTAGACTGTTTCAATGGATTTTCTTGGAAATTGCTTCAGTTATTGGGCAGTATAGAAGTTAAATCTGCAGCTGTATTTGGTTCTTGAAATGTATTGTCTATCTTGGTGGTCAAACTTTGTCTAGTACAAAGGATTTTATCTTTCAGTACTTCTTACCATTGGCTATGCTAGCAAGGGCTTCTAAGAAGTGAAGTCTAAAAAATCTGGAGATGTACCTTCCAATCATCCCTGGTCAAATGAACAGAATGATTTCATGACAGTACATAGCATACCAGACATGTTTATATGGAATGTTGGTAAGGGGAAAGCAAAGACTGTTCAGAGTGAGCACAGGTCTTCCTCAAAAATGCAAGTTGCTGTATTAGTAGTCACCCAAAAATTGCCAGAAGAAAGAAGCTTTTTTGATGCTGCTAAACATGATAGCAAAAAGTGTCCCAGCAACCCTAGTATGAGTCAACTCTAGTATGTGTCATCTTTCATGTGAACAGCATATAGATTTATGTACAAGCTCTTGCCAGACTGTTATTATTTGCATGTCTGTGCTGCCCAGTATTTGAAATTTTGTGGCAGTTCAAGGCAATTCACAGTGAAGTTCACAGTAAAGTAGGATCTCTTCTGTTCCTTTGCTTGCATACTTGGAGTCTTTTGGTTTGAAAATTTCTAAGGGCCCAACTGGATATGGGAGTGGTGATGCAATTGCCATTAGCTCTTGTGGGGAGGTGAGCTAATCGCAGCTTCCAGGGTGGAAGGACAGGAGTTTAGATGCCAGTCTTCAACCATGCAGGACTGTTGATTATGATAATCTTAATTACAGATCTCTTTCATTGTTTATATTTTGAACTTTACCATGTCTCCCACACTGAATATGCAAATGTATTTTTAAAAGCTTTTTTTGGCACTGTAATAATAGGTTTTTCAAGGAACTGATGAGCAGCTTAGAGAAATGTATCAAAACCATCAGAGAACTGTGAGAGAAAAGGAGAAGAAGTTAACAGAATTTCAAAGAGAGCTGGAGAGAACAAACAAAGATTGCCTAAGATTCAACAGAGAAAAATCTGAACTATTGGTTGAACAAGGTACTGTGGTTAATTTGTTTTGCTATGTTAATAAACATTTCAAAAAGGCATATGAGAAATGAGCATAATTAGTTTCATAACAAAATTTGTTCATTCATTAGATTTCTGTGAGCCATTATTTTGATCCATCATACCATTATACACATTTAATCAAGAATGTCATAATATAATCTATTCATCTAACAGTTAAAGCAGAGTTGGCCAATTGGTAATCTGTGGGCAAAGTTTCCAGCCTCATTTTATCTGGCGTCACCAAATTTCAATCAAAGTTTGGTAAAAACAAAGTCCACATGTCATTAATGAGGGGTGGAGACAAGTAATTAGCTTGTAAGAGAAGCCCATGGGTATGTGTGCTTTGGTGTTCTGGGTAATGTCAATGTAAACAGGTTTAAGACTTTTTATGGAAAGGCACTAGCTGACCATTAGAATGTTTAATTCTAAGTTTGAAACAAAGTAGGTCTTCATACTTTCAATTGGAGTTTAGCTGAGCAAATGCATCTCTAAACTGTAGCAGCTAAGGTTTGGAGTTGGAACACAAAATGGATTGACCCATACTGAAGTTCGAAGATTTTGAAAGCAAGCTTGGAAATAAGTCTATAAAACATACTAGGTCACAAAAGTGCCTATACATATGCAGGGAATTAGAAATTGTGTGCATTTTTAACATCATCTAGTACCCTTCAAGCAAGGATGGGCAACTTACATTGCAGCTATTGTTCATGCAGCTCATGAGACCAAGGTGGCTGTTTCATGCCTGGGCACCAAAAGGTCACTATTATTTATTTAATTTTCTTTAATGTGGTCCAATACCAGAGTCTCTGGACAGCTTACAAGAAAAAACAAAACATACCAACAAATAACATACTACATCTTACCATTAATGATAAAAATCAAAGATAAAACCAATTAAATGTTAAAATAAAAAAGGTTTTGCCTGACGCTGAAAAGAATAAAGCAGCAGCACGAGGCAAACCTCCCTGGGGAGCATGTTCCAAAGTCGGGGTGCCACTTTGGAGACTTTAGGTTACTGGTCCTGGTTACTTGGAGACTAAGTTTACTCACCCCAAGTGACCAGGCTAGTAATATCTTTTTCTGTATATGGTAAGGTTAAACTTGTTGTAGCTTCTTATAAGCTGAGCTTCAAGTGCTTAGCCCTTTAGTACTGAAAATGAATGTGCTTATTTGTTTAAACCTCATTGTTCGTCCTTATTAAGGTCGCCTCCAGTTGCAAGCAGATCGTCATCAGCAACATATAAGAACCAGGGATTCATTAATTCAGTCACTGGCAGCACAGTTGGAACTGGAGGGATTAGAAAGACCACCTTTCAATGAACGGCAAATTAACAATTTTCACCGCCTTGTGAAAGAGAGACAGGACAAGGACATGGAAGCTGCTAATCAGCTGATGGTAAACAATTATGTCCACATGTTCCCTAAAGGTTCAGTCAATGCAAAACAGAAAAAAGATGATCACATTCTAAACTTGTAGAATAATATCATGCAAACCCATGCATGCTTACTTTAGAGAAAGGGGGGGTACGTTTTGAGTACATTTTAGATGGGATCATTTATATGAACTATATCTTTATTTGATGTTATGAATTAGGGTTATGAAAAAGTGTATGGGCATGTGTGGCAAGTATAAAGTAATAATTGTCTTAGGTTTGAAAGCAGGATAATGAGTAGTAACAAGTGGTTTTATTTATTTTTTTATTTATTTAGTTTATTTATTTGATTTATATCCTGCCTTTTTCCTACAAAGGACTCAAGGCAGCTTACATCTCCTCCATCTTATCCCCACAACAACCCTGTGAGGTTGGTTGGGCTGAGAGTCTGTGACTGGCCCAAAGTCACCCAGTTGGCTCCATGGCTGAGCGGGGACTAGAACCCAGATCGTCTGAGTCCCAGTCCCATGCTCTTAACCACTACACCACACTGGTATCCCTATCAAATTTTATTATTTTTTTGCATCTGTCCTGCAGACATCTAAGAAAGTTTAAAAATTCTGGGTCCTGCTTTTTAATAATAAATGCAAGGGGACCAGTTACACCTTCTGCATACACAGATAGGTATCTGGCTACCAATAGAAATTTCTCCCTTCTTGATCTAGTAGACCACCTGTGTGTGAAATTGAGATGAAGAGTTAGAGTGGACTTCACCACTTGAGATTAAAATCCTGAACCTGCAAAGAGTTCTCCCCCTCACCCCCAAATGTTTAAAAGAAAAAGCCCTACCTGCACATGTGTCTTGCCCCATTCTTAAGAGTATTCTGGGGGCAGGGGGCATGGACAACTGGCATGCTTGGGTTCATCCCCATTGATAAAACCTCAATAAACCTGGAAAGTCAACATCTCAGGGAGAACATTGACATACTATTTTCTATGTGCAGAAATACGTAGTCCATTTCCTGTAGTCTGAAATACTATTGCTCAGGAAAATAGTGTTGTGTGTATATCTAAGCATCTAGTTGAGTTTGTATACTTCTAATTGTTCTTCTCCCCACCAAACCCAAAGCCAAGATTGTGGAAGGGGGAATTATGGCAGCTGAACATTATCTTACTTCATTTGTTTTCTGGCTTCTGGCTGCTGTTGTGAAGTAGGCTTCATGTTCCAGGTTTCAAAGAGGAGAGGCAAAAAAATATGAGTACTTTTTGCCTAGGTTTTTAGAAAGAAATATTTAATTCTAAGGACTTTTTGCAAAGTTGACAGTGACACATATTTCTGTAAAGGACTGTGGGTAGAGGTGAAAGATGAGCATTTTTATTTAGCACCTATTGGGTAAGAGACAGTTACTTCATTCCAGCCACATTTGATGTTCCTTATACTCTTTTCATTCCATAAACTCTTTTTGGTACCAGGCAAAGACCTTTTTATTTCAACGGTATTTTAATTGTTAGTTGTTTTTAATGGCATTTGAATGATGGGGTATGCTTTTTAATGAAATAGTTATGTCAGTGGGCATGGTTTTTATTATAACTGGTGTTTATGTTTTCATATTGTATGTATGGTTTTATTGTTGTAATCTGCCCAGGTAGCTGTGTGGCTAATGGGGTGGGTTAAAAATCCAATAAATAAATAATTCCAACTAGGTCTTGTGGATTTTGTGGGACTATTAAGGTGTACTTAAGTTCAGGATCCTCTGTGCAAATAAATTCCTTGACTCTTGCAGAGAGAATTTAGCGAGAAGGAACTAATGAAGCAGAAACAACTAGATGAAATAAGAGATAAAAAAACTGGACTTGAAAGAACCATTGACCTAAAATCAGACATTCAAAATAAGAAACAGCTTGAAGTAAAAAACCTGAAATATGAGTTACATCAGCTTGAAGGGTCTTCAGATAGGCTCTTGGAACTGGATCAGGAACTTACCAAAGCAGTAAGATTTGAATTTTTATTATTGTTATTTTTAAATTCTCTCTCAATGTGTAATAATTACCATATCTAAAACTGCCTTCATGCATTAATTAATATTTTCTTTGTCATCTCTCATTTGTATTACTGGAATACCAGCCTGTATACAGATGCGGTTCTAACTGTGTAAAGCCTACGCGCATTGAGGTTGTGCTTGCCTGAGAACCATAGAAGTCACATAGTGTTGGTGATCTATATATGATTACTATTGTGATATGGATTACTATTATGGACTCTAACTGTAGATTCTTCTCCCAGTGTGGACATGTCCAGTAGCACTGGAATTCTGGCTAGTCCTGATCACATAGTTCTACATAATTAGGGCCATAGTGGTATAAGACGTATGCTATCCCAAAACTGGTATGAAGGAAACACTGAGCAAAAATAAGAAAATATGCCTTCCTATATTTTATGCATCTATATTAAGCACATCCATAAACTATAAACTTTTAAAAGTAATAAAATGCCCAATTTGAAATGTGTGTTTGGACAATCAACCATCAAAAGGACTTTAATAGATGCAAATGCGAGATTAAAGTTTAGCAGCTTCTGAATGCCAATTATGGTGAGTGAACTCACTTGTATATAATTCAGTAGCTTTAAAACTTTTGTTAAAATAGACTTTTTGGTTGTACATTCTGCTATGATTTTTCAAGTATTCTGTTTCCATTTAAAATATACTATTGCACTGTCTCTTTTTGTGTTACACTTTTACAGTTTCACAAACATGTTACAATTGAATTTATATAGTTGTGGCATACCATTTTTTAATCATCTTTTCAACTAGACAGTCTTTGACATTAATTCCAAATGTGTGTTTTGGAAATACTAATATAGTACAGGAGATGGAAGCATGCATCATTCACCCTGTTGCCATTACTGGCTCCAAGTATTAGTCTCTTGTGTGGGTGTACCCCTACCCCAGTCTCCTCTTCCAGAAATTTAAGTGTTAATTTTGAATCTTTGTTGTGTTGTATGACACTTTAGGAAACAATAGAAAATTCTTAGTTTTCTCTTGCCCTTGTATTACCTTATGTATGATGATATGTGTGAATAATGACACCAGTGATGAATTGGAATCCTATGTTCTTTTCTGAATCCTGATATATACTAAGATGATAAATCTGTGTTTGGGCTGTATTACTTTCAGTTGCACGTGGGAGTTCACATGAACTCCCTCATACATGTTCCCTACACATGGAAAAACAGCATTGTTTATATCCATGTGGTGGTGATGATGGAGGATTTCATTTCTGTAGAGCCTAGTAGCTGAAGCTCTTTGGGTGGTTTGCAACAGTTCACAAGGCAGACAATGGGCATTTCCAACAGGTATAAAACAAAAAGCTTGCTTTTGTTTCCCTGTTTAGAAACATGAACTAGATGAAGCTGAAAAGAATTGCAACGTTGAAGGCCTAGAAATGGAAATACAAGAGCTGCAAAGAGAGAAAGCAACTTTGGACAGTTTTCTTCGTAAATTGGATAAAGAAATGGAACAGCTGAACTTGAATACTACCATAATTACCCAAATGGACATGCTGAAAAAAGATAAAGTAGTGTATTTTCTCTGACCCTAATATGCCAGAACACATAGAATATGTCAGCCATTGTGTTAATAAGTTGTTCACACATAATGCCAACTCTATGGTTTAGTGGTATGTAAGTCCTAGTTTGCACTTGAAATAAAATACAATCTATGATTTGCCTCAAGGCAGGAAGGATATTGTATCATGCAAGGGAAGGCAGGTGTACACTAGTATGAAGTTTGCTATATCTGTATCAGCCCAGTCTTTTCAGAATTATAAATTATTTGTGTGCTTATCAAGCATTTCGAAACTAATTGTGTCACAATAAAACCAAGTCTTATTTGTAGGTATCTATCTTTTTTAAAGGCAGACAAAGAAGAACAAATAAGAAAAATAAAATCCAGACACAACGAAGAGTTAATTACCTTGATGGGATATTTTCCAAACAAAAAACAGCTTGAAGATTGGCTTCACTCTAAAGTTAAAGAAATTAATGAGACACGAGACAAAATTGCTAAGCTAAAGTGAGTTTCATTCAACTAAAATATGCATACATGTTGCGGCAATGGTGGGGTGATTTGTATTCATTAAAGGGCTTATCCACATTTCTGTTTACTGGTACAGGTCAAAGCATGCTAAGAACTGGCACTAAAGAACCTGTGCTTTTGCAGTAACTTCTGTTGAAATAAATAATTGCATGGTGATTTGTATCCAAACTTTACTCATTTTCAACCTTTTCATTTTTCCTTTCCATTAAAAATATTTCCAGTGCATGTAAAAAAGTAGGCAACAATAAAATACAGTGGAAGTTATCCAGCTGCATTGAAAAACCCTGTTTTAAAAGGCCATACCTGAAAATGTATCATGAAAAATGTCAGTCATAGCTGCCTATTGAAAAGTGAAAGGTGATGGGATCAAGCTAACATCTTGAGGCAGAGCATTCATTGTTTTTGTGCCAGGGTGAATTAATCAGTCTTTAACAGTCAGAACAGGACTTGAGGAAGGAAGTGGAACAGACAGACAAACACGGGAGCCAGTAGAAGAATGTGGAGTAGACAGATTTGGGGGAGAGGGTGGCATGAGAGAGATGAAAACATGCTAGGGAGAAAAGTTTGCTATGATTTCCTGCTTGGGTAGCTGAAATGAGTGGAGGTGAGGAAGAGACTGTGTGCATTGAAATTTACCAATCATCTGATTGTTAGAAGACTTTGCACCTTTCCCTTACAATTAAGAACGTATAGAACTTGGATTTTTTTCTTGTATAATTCTGTTTTGATCCATGTGTAATTCGATAAACTGGTAAGTAGTACATGATTTTCAACCAGAGTTGCAAAATCTTAGCCCCGGGCCAGTCTGACCCTCAGATTCCTTAGAAGGCTGAAGCACTTTATGATTTGTAAATGCAACTACATTTCAAGTGACCTCTAGATAACTGTAGTATTTGTCAGTGACAAGGACTTATGCTTCCCTACTCTTGCTCACTCCCTCCCTCCATCTTCGTATGGCACTTTGGTCAGGAAGATCAACTAATTATTTTTCCAGTTTGAGGAAGACCATGATGGTGGCTCTGTTCTGATGTCATGTTTCTGTTGAGATCATACTGTTGAAAATCTTACCTTAAAGCCTTGAACACATGCACAGACAGCTCTTGGTAAAAGAAACAAGACTGTTCTTACGTGGTGCAAATAATCTGACAGGTAGGTAGCTTCCATCTAGTCTACAGGTTTGCAAGCTTATAGTTACAGTTTTTTATTTTCCTTTGTATTAAAAAACAGAATTTTCAAGAACCAAACCTATTCAGTTAGTTTAAAAGTTAAAACTGGTCTTGCACATTCTTTTTTTTTTAATTTTAGTTCTGATTATAACAATACTTACATTTCAGCAAAGAACTTGTTTCAGCAGAGCAAAACAAAAATCATATTAGCACTGAATTACGAAAAAAAGAGGAACAAATGTCCAGTTATGAGGAAAAACTTTTTGATGTTTGTGGAAGCCAGGATTTTGAAAGTGATCTCTACAAACTTCAAGATGAAATAGAAAAAACATCCAAGAAGCGAGGCAAGTTTATGCAACTTCTCCATTTCCTGTATTTTTGTTTAAAGTTGTATTTCAGTGTTAAATTATATTAGGTGTTGATGACTATATTGTCTTACTTGTATTCATTTAACAAGCTCCCCTTTCTGTAAGTATAATAATAAAGGCAGCTATTTTAAATGAGAAAATGGTCAGTGTGCAATTGATACTAGACTTCAGTTTTTTCTTGTACAAATCTAAAATATCTCAGACCTCCTCTTGCGTTTTACTTTACAACTTTCAAGTGATGACTAATGTGTTTGAGCTCCAGGATGGCATAGTCCTATCCCAAGGAGGGTGTTTTCTATAGGCCAGTGCCAAGACTCAGGCTCTCAGCACAATGGTTTGTGGAATTTGTGAGGTGCCTGCACTAAAAGTATCTGGCAAAAGACCTATTTTTTTAAGAGTTGTGCTGCTGCTGCTGCTTTGCAGGATCATTTGCATTTTTTATCCACTGCTTGTTTTTATTTTTAACTTTTAAAAAACTGGTGGTGTGTTTTTACTTTAGCTTTGATTTCTTATTCTTTGTTTGACCCGGTTATAATTGGCTTTAGAGCTCTTTTATTGAAAAAGAAACAGAAACTTTTAAGAGTATTAGTTGAATCTCTCCCTGATTGCCTTGATTGGTGAATTTGATAAAATGTTCATCTTTTATTTTCCCCCTTCAAAATAGCCATGCTTGCTGGTGCCACTGCAGTTTATTCGCAGTTCATCACACAATTAACAGATGAGAAAGAATCATGTTGTCCAGTTTGTCAGAGAGTCTTCCAGTCAGAGGCTGAGCTGCAGGAAGTAATAGATGATCTTCAGGCTAAGCTGCGTCGTGCTCCAGACACACTGAAGACAACAGAGGCTGAGCTAAAGAGGAGAGAGAAAAAACGTGATGAAATGATGTCACTTAAACCTGTCAGGTGAAGCTCAAACTGTAGAACTATCTAATAGGTGAACAGAGTTTTCTGAGAATAGAGCCATTTTAAGATGCCTAGTTTATGTAACATATATCTCCTCCAAAGTGGCTTCCAGCAAAAAATAATACAATGGTTTGAAGCCTGAGTTCTGTGAATATGAGAGACTTCAGTCAAACAATCAAACAGAGGCTGCAGCTGGCAGAAGGAAGGGAGGGAGAAAGGGTTTTTGTTGGGAAGAGGAGGGATTTCTCAACCTCTCTGTCCCACTTTCCATGGGTCTTGTGGATCCTCCAGTCATCCGGAGCAGAATTTTGGAGGACATAAAGGGAAAGGGGAATTGGTAAAAACCATCTCTTCTCAGTGCTTCCTTTAGTAGGAATATCCCATGAATAGATTTCCACACACAAAAATTAGGATACAAGCCAGTAACATCTGAAAGAAATATAATCACAGTAAGCAAATAGTTAAAAAGTAGACAAAACTACAGCATCAAAACAGTTTTTAAAAGTAGTGGTCAAATAACATTGAAAGCTTGTCTGAAGTAGACAGTTTTCCTATTCCTCCTTAAGCTTGGAATAAAGAACCTTTTTCAGGCCAAGTTCCATTTTGGGAGAGCTATTCCAGTGGCAGGAGAAAGCAAAGGCAAAAGGCAGGGACAAATACAAAAATAATGTATGACACCTCCTTATCCAAATTAATAATGAAATATTGAAGAGCACCAGGCTCAGGACCCTGTATCCCTCCCCAGTTACAGAAGTTATCATTGATAAGCACTCTTTGAGTCTAGTAAATTGTGTATTTACCTGATATTTGTTCCATCCAGCCCACTTTTAGCTAGTTTGGTAATCAGGATATCATGAGGCATTTCATCAAGAGCTCTGCTGAAGTCAGGATAGCTGTCCACAGTATTCCCACTGAAACTGAAGGGAAGGAGAGTGCATGATGAAGAAGTCAATTTTGGGCAGAGCTACACCCAACAGGCTAATCCTTCAAAGACCAATTGCCCCTTGACTTTTGAAAAATAGATGCTTGGTTTGGTCATAAAGGTTGGAGCAGATTAGGTTTACCCAGCACTAGCCATAGATACTGAGTTAAATATGTATAATTGGATTTTTTGTCACTTAATGGCAATAATAATGGCAATAATTTGTATTCCCAGGGCAGCAGTGTATGGTGACATGCTATAATATACATGAGTATTTTCTAATTGATTAATAGAATACCCATGAACAGAGTTTTCTGTAAAGTTATTCTGTACATGTGGCTTGTGAATTCAAGCTCCTCTTTTATTGAGCTGATTCTGCTGTTGTTAGAGAAAGAATGTATTGTCATGAATTTAATATTTCTTGCTAAGGCAAATGGTAACTGAACTCCAGGAAAAGGACATACCTGACTTAAGGAACAAGCTACAGAATCTCAACAGAGATATCCAACGCCTTAAAAGTGATATAGAAGAACAGGAAACTCTTTTGGGTACTATCATGCCTGAGGAAGAAAGTGCCAAAGCATGTTTGCAAGATATTACATTTATGGAAAGATATCAGGTAATTGTACTGCACAGATTAGGCTGCATACTAAAGCCCCTATTCACGTGAAGAGAAAAAGGGCACTGAAAGGGGCTGTGTTTCTGTCCAGTTCTTCCACTTCTGTGTGGTCATAATGTGAAGGAATCTTGAATTGGGCACAGGGAAAGATGCATGTGGGCACTTGCACCTGTGGTAGATTCATTAGAGCTCCAGTCATAATATCGGACACTATAAGAGTGTCAGCACTTTTCTCATTATTTTCCAGACTGATCTAAGGGATGTTGAGCGAAAAATTGCACAGCAGGCTACTAAGCTGCAGGGAGTAGATTTAGGTCGAACTCTTCTACAAGTGAGCCAGGAAAAGCAAGAGCGAAAACATCAGTGGGACACGGGTAAGGAGATAAGAAAAATGCTATACTGCTTGAGGCTCTGAAATCTCTTTCTGTATTTCCTACATGACTATGAAAATGTACATACTGGCCTGGGGTGCACATAATACTAACCCATAGTATGCATTCTTGAATTCTGAGTTAGCACAGTCATGCTAGCAAACCATGATTTCTTAACTGCAAACATTCCAGTAAAAGAAAGAGCCCATGGTTTATTGTTGGGATGTGAAGTCTGAGTTGTTTAAAGCATTGTCTGTTGTTATATCTGAAACTAGGACCATGAATCGTTTTGCTGTGCTACACTGGAAGTAGGCATGAGTGACCAAAAATCCTACCCACCATACATGCTAGCATTATAGTGTCACAAAGGAATTTGGGTACCGGGAAATGGCAGAGGAGAGAAAGAAGCAGCTGACAAGTTAAATCATGGTTTCTTTGATAGTCTGTCAGACAAATCCTGAGTAGAGCAACAAATAAAGAGTTAAATAAACCGTAGGCCTGCATTACAGCAGAGCCCCCGTATCCATGTTGATTGGTTCCAAGACCCCCAGCAGATGTCTGAAGCTGCAGTTAATAGTGAACACTGCATCATATATACTGTATACAGTACATTTCTTTTTTCACAATTTGATTTATTCTTACCTCTGCATATGATTCTTTCCCTTCCCTATTGAAGCAAGAATTTTCTTACAGGAAGCACTTTATGACCTCTCTTTGGCACTTTACAGCACTTTACGACTTCTCTTTCAGCCAAGGTTAACTGCAAATGTGGTGACTGCCATGGGACCGTACATTCATATCTAACAGTTCAATTATATGCCATTTTCTAGTATTCTCAGGTGGAAATGAGCATCTTGAAGACACATGTTTCCAAAGAACAGAAAGAACTATAGATTTCCTGTTTTCCAAATGAAACAATCAAATTTTAAGAGACTACAATTTGTATTAAAAGTGGCTATATCAAATTAAACACCTTTACAATTAAACTAGAACAGGCAAAACCAAAGGCTGTTCTTATCTTCACTTGTGAAAGTGACAGGCTTGATTACTAGTAATATAGAGTTTCTTAAGTTAAATAAGGGGTCCTTCCTAATGAGAATTTGTTTCCTTAACATTTTAAAGTAAAATCTGTATAATTGTAAATATTTTACATAGAGACCACCTTTCAGTAGGAAATTTCTCTTAGTGGTTATGTGCATCTGTTTCTTGTATTAATTGTACATTAATACAGTGAACAAGAAAATGTATTCAAGATCATGTAGAACTTCTCATAGTCTGCCTCATCTCAGTTGTGTGTAACAATTTAATTTCAATGTATTATTTTATTAAGCTACTTGGGTATCTCTGAAGAGTGCTTTCCACCAGCTGTGTGCTGTTCACCAGCTGCTTTCACACCAACAGGGTGACAACTGTTAAATCTTTGTGGATCTGTGGTCTTTTTTTCTGGTCTCCTCTGTGATAAATCATAATAGTATTACTATCAGCCTATAGTGCTCCTAGATATGCAACTGAAATGCCATATTTGTGTTCATGTGACTACAGCAAATGCATTATTTTTCATTTAGAGCAAAAATTTATATTATTTATTTATTTTTATGGCATCCCATAACCTGAAGGTTCTCTGGGTGGCTTACAAATGCCAAACAGCATAAAAACATAGATAAAATACAGTAAAACAATTGATAATCTGATAAAATAGAACAATAAAATAGTAAATAATATCACATAATAAAATGTATGCACACACCAATAAGCACAGCCAATAAATCAACCAAAATTAAAATAAATAATCCATAAATAATCCAATTTTATACAGGTATGTGTGAGTCTAACAGACTCATTAACTCTTTTCTACAAAACCTTAAGTGTAGGTTAAATTATATTGACGGTTAAATTAAAGTGTAGTGTAACTTCAGTGTAGTTAAAGTAAAGTATAGGTTAAATTAAAATTAAATGATATACTTTAGTGCAGAAAATTCTTTAGATAAAGTTTCATCCAGTTAAGATGAAAATTGTATTTTGATAGTCTCATTTATTCTAATATGTGTTCCTTTAATTTATACCGGCAGTTGCAGGCAAAATTGAATTGAAGCAGACTCTTAAGCAAGATCAGCAAAATCAAATCCAGCATCTGAAGAGTACAATTAATGAGCTGAATACAGAGAAACTTCAGATTTCTTGTCGTATGCAACGTCGACAGCAGCTAGAAGAGCAAACTGTGGAGCTGACCACAGAGGTGCAGTGCTTGAACAGAGAGATTAAGGTAAAATGAATAACTGATGTAGATGCTAATATGGTTTATTCTCCTCTGCCTACAGCATGTTTCAGTTTTATTGGCCTTTGAATCCTGCAAATCATTAAAAAAAACAATCTGCATAAAAAAGGCCAAGGCAAATTTCCAAAGCATAATGAATATAAAGATGGTTTCTTTTTCAGGAAGCAAAGGAGCAGATATTTCCTTTGGAAACAACTTTGGAAAGACTTCAACAAGAGAAAGAAGAGCTAATGGACAAAAAGAACACGAGTAACAAAGTGACACAAGAGAAGGTTAAGATCACTTATCTTCAGTTGGTTGAGTAAAATACAGCATTATGTGAGAAAGGCTGCTTACATTTCCTGGTTAGAGCTCTGTCTTGTCATGGAATTTGGTGGCTTCAGACAATTTGTAGATACTCAGAATTGGGCAATTTGTAGATACTCAGAAAAGATTGACATTCAAGGTCTTCCTAGCTAGGGACCATGGAACCACTTTGCAAACTTTGTAATACTATTAAAAGTTTGGTTTTGATCTTAGTGTACAAGAGCAGCGTCATTAAATGCTTGCCTTGGCTAGTAACATCTTTTAGTTTAGAAACCTCTTTCAGAACCTATTTCAACCGAAGGGCTGAATTCTATTTTGGAGAACCCCTTGGGAGATAGGGGAAGATGTAAATTCTTGCAGAGGATTCTAGAATGCCGCAGTGGGATCTTCAGAAGGCTGAATTTGGTACTTCGTTCTGCATTCCTGTTTTACTGGTTAGCCAAATGAGTTGGAATTCTCTGAGTGGCTTCAGTGGACTGTGAATTGAATTCTGTATTATGCACCCTTCACTGAAGTGTATGCACATGCTTAAATATTATGCAAATAACCTTTCATGAAAACATTTTGAGCATACTGGTATAACTGTCATATTAGAGCAAGTACATAAAACAGCATTTATAATTGTGGTGTGTGTCACATCAAAGAGAAAAGTTCTCTTGAAATTTCAAGGCAGAGCAGTGATGTGAAGAGGTGAAGATGTACATTCCAAGGCAGAGTAGGGAGTGAGGAGGATTAGAGAACATATGTGGGTTTCAAGCCAGAAAATGAGAGTAAATATATGTAGATGATAAGGCAGAGCACTGTAAATACATGCATTTTTATGACAGAGCTGTAAAGCAGAGGGGGACATTGGTTCCCATTGATGGAATTGAGTATTTTATATCCCTTCATTAGGACAAATGGGGTAATTTGGGATGAAGTTCATGAAATTTATCTTTTCAAACAGTCTCATTTTTTCAGTACAGTTGGAATGTTGATTTTTTAGTGTGTTTGGAATGTGTAGTGTTTTGACATTGTTTACTTCAACAGCTAATTACTATTTTGAATTACTACATATACATTTCTTACAAGCAAACATTTTGGTGTCTGTTTTCTCACAGATAAGCGACATTAAAGAAAAAGTTAAAAACATCCATAACTATGTAAAAGAGATTGAGAATTACATTCAAGAAGGGAAAGAGGAATACAAACAGGTAATTACAAAAAATAGCATAAACCTTCCAAAATGATATTATTTCTTAAATTAAAATGTTTCTTGTATTTTTTACAGCAAAAGGAATGTGAACTTGATGAAGTCAAGGCTCAGCTAGCAGAATCTGAGAAAAAGAAAGAGAAGATAAATAAAGAAATGGGAACAATCAGGCAAGATATTGATACCCAAAAGGTAGATGTAGCTTATCCCAACATTATCCTTGAATACTAGCTTGATATCCACAAATGGTAGAAAATAGCCTGCCCTTTGATTCCATATCAGTGGCAGCAACATTAAGGGCCACAGGACTAACCCATTGATAAAATAATATGCTACAAGTTACTTGTAGAATATAATATATAACATATAGAGCACCTTAGCATCTAGAGAATAACTTCACTTTAAAGCCAGGATAGGTGATTCAAAATATTATTTTTCATTATATGGTATGAAACAGATCAACACTTTTTTTCTTATTGCATGTCAGACATGGTTCCCCTCAGCCTTAAAATGACTTAGCCATCTAAAAGTATCAGTTACAATAAATGTACAGCAGTGATTGTAGACAAGACTAAAGTAGGTTTTGTGTAGAAAACACATAGTCTGTTGCTAGCTAAAGCCCATGCACATGAAACATTACTGGAACAAAATTATGTAATTCATATATTTTATTTTATTTGAATTAAGATTCAGGAGCGATGGTTAGAAGATAATCTTACTTTGAGGAAAAGAAACGAAGATCTAAAAGAGGTTGAAGAAAGCATAAGGCAGCATTTGAGGGAGATGGGCGAAATGCAAGTCCCGCAACTGAAAAGGTATCTTCTTTTCCATAGAAGTTCATATCCTATATTTAGCCCATCTAACATGATCAATTGCTGTTCATGAATAAATCATGTAGAACATTTTCCATGGAAAAAGACAGCATTGGATAATTTTCTGCTGCCCATGAAGCTTTTCTTTTTACTTTATCTTTTGCTTTAGAAGGTAGGATCTATGCCAACAAGTTCATATTACAAGTTAGAGACTTTTGATTCAAGATTGGTATAAACCCTGAGAATAGGAGCTATTTGACAGTAAAAATTGCCTCAGAAGTGGAATATCTTTTATTAGGAATTTGAAAATCAAGGCAGGATGGCTACCTATCATGGATGCTATAGCAGATTATTTTCTGCATAGGCAGGACTTGATAACTTGAGAGTTTCTTTCCAGCTTTATGGTAACTATGATTATAGCATCTTAACTTGAGTTTGTAATGAAATTATAAACAATCCATAATTTATGATCAGCCAGAAAACTAAAATCAGAAATCTGTTTTGAAGTAGATTTGAAAACTATGGTTTATGCTCATCCCTGAATGATTATGCCGTCATTATAGACATTCCTGTTTCTCTGGAGGGCAGTGTACCTAGAGACATAGCACCGAACCTATGAAAGATAAAGTAAGGCAAACTTCTGTGAACCACTTGCTTAGACTGTTCATACTTAGAATACCAATTGTTTGAAATGAACCTATTTTATTGCGTCATCTCCCTCTCTCTCCTTGTCCCATCACATGTTTGTGCACAGGTGCATGCACAATAATTATTAATAATTTTCTTTATTTTTCTCTGTCTCTTTTTAAATGGGCAATAGAGTTATGTAATACATCTTCTCAGACTGCCTGATTTTCAAAGGCTTAGTTCAGAAACTGGAGTCTTGATTGCCAAACTACAATTTTGCATTTGGGAACATCACAGAAAAACATTAATGGGAAAAAACAAAACAAAAGGCAAAAAGATACTTAAATATGTCTAGTTCCTATTTTGAGGAAA